CTCACTTCCTGCCGAAATCACTTCTTCCTCACCACGCTTGTTCGAGGTTATAGCCAATCTATGATCCAATAGAAAAATTTTGAAAGCCGTAGTACCGTTTCCTTATTGTACGCGTAGTAGGTGGTAGCCTTGGAGAAGCATTGAACAACGCTGCAGGTAAACAGTACAGCCATGATGATTGGAGCGACAAAACGCCAAGTGATCAGCCAGTATTGCCCGGGGATGGAGCCGGTCATAAATTCGATGTCTCGGGAGAAGCTGGAACATTGTAAGCTAAATTCAACGCAAAAATGACATTCAGGACTTACCGTCTGTATCCGTAGACGTAGACCACCGCGATCACCTCAAAGAACGCAACGCACATTAGCGCGTAGGAACCGGCGAATGAGTCGAATAAAGCGACCCAATACTATAAAAGTAAACATTCTATTGTTACAGAGGAGAGTATCATGTGAACAGTACTTGTCCAGCCCTAGTGGAGAAAAGCAATCCGATGAGACAGGCGGAAGCACAAAGCACACCGGTTAATACCGGCTTGGTCACCGTAATGAGATGTGAATCATTGAGCGAGGTGATTACACCTTCAAGTGTGCCTGAAACGTGTTTTTGACCACACGCACTGAATACTGATTTGGTTCAAAACCAACCGAACATGCTCCCGAGACCAAGCGAAAGAAGCATCAAGAAGAAGAGTATAGACCATGCCGGCGGGAATGGGAATCTCAGAATTGCCTCCGTGAAGACAACAAATGCCAAACCAGTGCCTTCCGCAGCCTAAACAGTTCGTGTCAAAAAATGTCACTCACATCACTGAATCACGCCATGATCATAGAGAAGATCCAGCCAAAATGAGCACGACTTACTTCAGAGATGATGGTGGCATAGTTACACATTTGAGAACGCTCAGCCATCGCACTGAATTCGCCGGCAAATTTGTGCTCCATCAACTGAAAGAGTACAGTTCTTTACAAAATACACATAGCTCGCTAATTATCCAATCTGTAAGGCACTTGCAGAAATTGCTGCCTGCTTTGTTTCACGAATTTAT